TGGTGACTAACATAACATAATAAAATTTTTAAAAATAGGGCGCCTGGGTGGCTCAGTTGGTTAAGCGACTGCCTTCGGCTCAGGTCATGGTCCCGGGGTCCTGGGATCGAGTCCCGCATCGGGCTCCCTGCTCTGCGGGGAGCCTGCTTCTCCCTCTCCCACTCCCCCTGCTTGTGTTCCCTCTCTCGCTGTGTCTCTCTCTGTCAAATAAATAAATAAAATCTTTAAAAAAAAATAAAATAAAATAAAATAAAATAAAATTTTTAAAAATAAATAAATAAAATAAAATGGGGACTCCAGTAACTAGGGCCCTCGGTAGATGCTCGTTGGAGGAGGTGGTAGGCCTTGAGCCCACTCTGCCTGGAGGACCACTCTGCAGCTGTAGTACATTCTGCCCACTGTGGCCCAGCCCAAGAGAACACTCCAGGAGACCATCCTTTCTGGCCAACACCAGCAACAGAGGGGAGGTTGGTTTGCCATCTCCCTCTCATTCTTCATACCTTCTCTTCCCATCTCCCTGGGTTTATTTCAAAAGCCATGTTAGTGAAAGAAACCAGTCACAAAAAGATAAATACTGTATGAGTCCACGTATAGGACATACCTAAAGTAGTCAAATTCACAGAGACAGAAATAGAATGGTGGTTACCAGGGCCTGGGGGATGGGGGGGAATGGGGGGGTTGCTTAATGGTTATAGAGTTTCAGATTTTCAAGATAAAAAAGTCCCGGAGATCTGTTTCACAGTAATGTGAGTATACTTAACGCTACCGAACTATACACTTAAAAATGATCCTGATGGTAAATTTTATGGTACATGTTTTTTACCACAATTTTTTAAAGCCACATTAACAGCATTACTTTCATGGAAGGAAAAACACACAAGTCCTAAAACTCGAATGCCTTAGGAGAGAGCAAACAGGCAGAGTCCATGGGGTAAAGTTCTTATCTTCTAACCATAGATGTTTCTATTACCCGCCTCCCCATGATTCTGCAGGATGCACATACCTATGGTGTGTGTGTCTCTGTGTCTATGTGTAAGCACTCCAGCATTTTGTAGACATTAGTTCCTTTGAGGGGCTCATCTACACAAGGGCCCTGATACAATTTTGTCTTTTGAAGAAAGACCAAGGAGCAGTATGAAATACTCAGGCTCACGTAACAGATTCCTGGAAAATCCAGGAAGCCTATGTCTACCTCAGGCCTGGTCCCAGAATCACTCTTTCTCTTTATCTCAGGCAACCCCTGCTCTCTGGACAGGAGTAGTTCTTATCAAAGATCATGGATTTCATGAAGCAGGGGGTAGCAGGAGGAGTAGAGAGAGTAGCCTCTTGAAAGCAACAGCGCCCACACCAACCAGTTTAGCCCTGGGCAAGTCCCTAAACCCCTGAGCCTAGCTCCTGGGGATAATAGGACTGCTCTGAAGGATGGGAATGAGTACCTGGTACTTGGGACATGGGTCTTCTGTTCATGGTCATCATCACCATTCATGGTAGGAAAAAGGCTTCAGAATCCCCCTTGAGATACCCAGCATGCCCACTGGGTAGTCCTCTGCTAGGCGTAATGTCAAGCAGGTCTAGGTTGGCTCTACTTGGCACAAATTCCTATTTCAGCTCCTACTGTTACTTACTTCAAATACAATTGTCTCTTGGTCCAGAACTTGCTGAAATGCAGCCTCTTTTATGCTTCATACACACTTGGGCCCCTTTTCTAACCAGTTATTGAATTGTACAATTCCCTGGGTCCTATAGAGTCTGGCCCCCATGGGTTCCTCAGTCTGTATTAGAAGGTTATTTTTGGATCTTAGGATTTACTTCAATCCTTTTTGGGGAAAAAAAATGTATGATATTATTTGAAATTGTAACTTGCTTTGAGTTAAAGATTTCTGAAAGAGCATGGTCATCTTAGCATCCAAGGCTTTCTTCCTGCTCTGTCTTAATAGAACTTAGAGGGGCAGCCTTTGTACCAGCATGGCCATCTATGATCAAAGGCCAGTGTCAAGAGAAGGTCCCTCCACTGCTAGCTCCACGACAGGAAGCCCTAGTTCAATTGTTCATCTCAACTTTGTGTCTAGAGTTTGAGTTAGAATCATTAATGAGATAGCAAGGTCACAGACCTGGGAAAACTACCCAAAAAATTCCAACCCAGATTTGAGTCCTAAGACTAATAGACGGCTATATGAGAGCTAGCATGGGTGATCTCCAGGAACCTAGTTGGCCCCATCATTGCATGAGCCTCTCTTTTGCCTTGGTCCCTCAGGTTGCTAGTACAGAGCTGTGTTCTCTCCTAAGTTCTGACCATTCTTGATAAATTAGAGCTATCGACCGTGAGTATCAACCATGAGTAAATCACAGTACTTACTGCCATGTTTTAGAGCATATCCTGTACCTCCTCTCACTTCTTTCATTGCCTTGTGTCCTCCATCTCTTCTACTTGTGTCAGGTCTTCTGGTTTCTTTTCCTCTCATTAGCAAAGATTTCAGGATTGCCTGGTTCAGTACTAAAACTTGTCCAAGAGATTATTAAGGAGGAAAAGCTTCGGGCTATTTTCTCCTGCCATTTTCAAGGTGTATAGAATGGCAGCATGTGTACAACTTTTATGATATTATTAAGTGGCTGTTATGTCAAGCCCAGAAAAATACAAGATGAGGCATGCTGCTATCCATTCAAACAAAACTGTAGGTCCACGTGACTGACTACACTTGCCCCTCTGACAGGTCTAAATGAACGAGCTTACTTGTTCAGCATGGGAAGATCGTGCCTGGAAATAATGCCTATATAAAATTTGTCTTGAAACTCAGTCTGCTCAGTCTGCATTTGTTTAATTTCAAGGTTCTGCAACTATACAGTTGAATTTTTGTTGAAGAGGTCTCATGGCCTTTGAAAACTTACATACTTAGGAAATCACTGACTTCTTTATTTTTTTTTTTAATATTGCCTTTCATTACATTCTATGAAAACTCCTTGTGTTCTCTGTAAATGTTCATGATCTCAGCAGACTGGTTGGACTAGGCCAGCGTTCCAAACTAAAGTAGCTTGACGGATCTGTCATTCATAGACTCACAGGAAGCTTGGGGAAGTTCAAGAAAGCTCTGTTTGTTTTGCCAACTCACAAGTCCATATATTTTGCCAGTGGTATCCAGAGTAAATGAAAATACTATCAACCTTGTCTTTCTTCCTTGTCGATACTTGTATGCAGTGTTTAAGGAATACTAAGAACCATAACTCCTCTTAATTATTGTGGGGAAACAGTGAAGAGTGTCAGCGATTACAGGTTAGAATAGAAGGCATGTGAGAAGTCATCTAGTCCAATCTCCCACCCAATCCTTTTATTATGATGACATAGGTATCTCTCCAGCCTCTGTTAGAACACTTCCAGCAATGGAGAGCTCACCACCACTCAAGAGCTGCTTCCATTTTGTCATCTGTGATTACTAGAAAATTCTTCCACATCTGTAGCAGATACCTGCGTCCTTTACATTTTTATTTGTGATCTTATTTATGCCCTCTGGAATGAGAGAGAACAAATTTCATCTCTTCTTCTAATAATAGCCCATTAGCTCTCTAAAGACAGCTCTTATGTGGGCCCTGTAAATCTTGCTTTTTCAGGATTTAACAGCTTGGTTCCGTATATCACATGGATTCAGTGCTCATCATGACCCTCGTTGGTCAGGCCTGCTCTTAACATACAGCACTAAATACTAGAGTCTTGATGTGATCTGAAGAGCAAAGAATAGAGGAAAGCTATAACCCTGTCCCAGCATTATACATCTCTTGCAGTAGCCCAGGATTGTGCTAAGTTTCCTGGCATCTGTGTCATTGTCCTGACTCACCTTGTTAAGCCAGCACTTTTCCATCCTGTCCTTACAGAGTTGACTTTTTTTAATCCCTGTACAGGATTTGATGTCCATTTTTGTTCAAGTGGATCTTTACATTTTACCCCATAATATCAGTCTGTGGTTGTCATTTGGGATCTTGATTCTCTCTCCTAAAGTATCTGACCAGCTTGCCACCCACATAGTTTCCTAGTCAGATACAGAACTTAACCATAACAGAGCAGACAATAGAAGCCTGGCTCACGTCACCAAACACTTTCCTTCAGGTTGAACTTGACGTTAATCCATCATCCAGCTACTGGTCACTTAATTTTACTACCTTCCAGACCCCATTTTTTCATATTATTCCAAGAGTGACCTAAGAGGTATCAGCTGCCTTGCTGAAATCCTGGGATGCTATTTCTACTGCATTCTCTGAGCAGTAATCCTATCAAAACCAGAAATGAAGTTATTTTGGCATGACTTGTTCCTAATGAAGCTTGAATCATCTGCCACTTTCCTGTCTAGGTTCTGAGTGGGTGATGGTTTGCCAAGCCCAGAAAGATCAAGTATACAGTTCAAATGGAAGTGCTGTTCGGAGACTTAGTTTTACTCACAAAGACTATCAAAACTTTCAGAGAGCAGGTGGAACAATTTAAGAGTGCCACATGCACATCTGATTTGAGTGACAGTGAAAATGTGAGGGGAAAGACTCCTCCAATATGTGTATATATCATAAAAATGAAAAGAAAACCATGGAGCACCTGGCTGGCTCAGTCAGTGGAGCATGCAACTCTTGATCTCGGAGTTGTGAGTTTGAGCCCCGTGTTGGGTGTAGAGATTATTTAAAAATAAAATCTTCAGAAAAAAAGAAAAAGAAAACAAAAAATAATAATGTGACTACCATTCTTGGGAAGATGGCTGATAAGATTGAGATATGATGTAAAAACAGAAAAGGAGGCAGGAGGTTAGAAAAACAAAAACTTTAAGTTCCTGAAGTCCACAGTGCCCCAAATCTCTATCAAAGAGAGAGCATGTTGAGTGGGAAGGTAGTAGGGAGGCAACCCCATCCAGGCTAGGAGTCGAGGGCAGGGTTTCTAAGGAGAAATATGTCTAAGATGGTTCCTTGATCATGGGATGGGTTTGTAAATCCCACAGAATGAAACGCAGATTAAAAGCACACACCAAGAAGTGCTCACTTCGACAGCACATACACTACAATTGGAACGATACAGAGAAGATTGGCATGGCCCCAGCCCAAGGATGACACAGAAATTCATGAAGCCTACCATATAAAACACACACATACCCCAAGAAGAGCTGGCCTCATAAGGCTCCCCCAGTGCATGGCCCAGGAGTTAAAACGCTGGGGGCTGAGTTCAGTTTGCTTCCAACATCAGTCCTCCTTACCTTGTCCTTCCATTTCCCTGTTTTAGTCTTTCTCAGATGCCAGGGTCCTGAGAAAGCCCTTACAAGTCCTGCTACACAAGGACTGGGTTCTCCAGGCAACAGCCCATGGCCTCCGTCCCTCCCGCCTCGTCACTGTTTTCATAACACTGTACTTTAGTTCCTCAAGCTCCCTCTCTCCAGCACCAGGAATGATGGAATCCTGGAAAATACTGCTGTGGCGTTATTTTTGGCTCCTTCCTTCCAGCCCTGTGTCTGCCGGCTCATCGACAACCATTAACAGCTGTTAGAAGGGGCTTTCAATTGCCTGGCTTCTTGCTGAAGTGTTTTAACACCGGTTTTCTAAGAGCTCAGCTACGCTATAGAGGAGAGAGAAAAATGGCAGAAGAGTTACATAAAGCCCCCTTCATTTAGGGGTCAGATTTTTCTCCCCCCCCTTTTTTTTTTGCTAGAAAAATAAGCCTCTGACAAAAGCTGTAGAGGCGCCGCCCAGCTGAGTCCCTGTAGAGTCCAATTCAGATGATCTCATGTGGCGGCCCTAGAGGCAGCCCAGGCCATTAGCAGGAACACAATCAAGGAATTCCGATGTCTGTGCATCGTTGATGTGAGCAGTTTCGCATTCCCACCCTCGCTGAGCTGCTGCCACCTCACTGCAGCATCTGGAATTCTGGACTAGACACAGAGGAGGTAGCCTATCGGCACAGAGGCTAAAAGATGCCAAGAGGGCCCCCTGCAGCCACCCACAAACCTGTACCCCATCAGCCTCTTCCAGGAGCCCGTTGATGCCAATGAGGCTGCCCCGGGTGGCCACCTCCTCCGTTGTTTACTTCCCTGCAAAGGACTGATAATTGTAGTAGACATTTGGAAGGTTCTGTGCTCCCTGTAAATGTTAATCCATTGATTCTCACTAGCCCCAGGGAAGATAATGATGTTGTTGCTGATCAAGAATTAACCCTTCATGTCTACCAACACTTTACCACCTTTGGCTACTTCACCGGACATCTCCTACCACCACTGGGGAGTAACACACAGTCCTGTCCCCATGTTTCAGACCGGAGAATATGAGAGGCCTTGTCCAAATGTCTTCTATGTCAGCATTTAGCCAGAATAATTGTTCGGTCTCCTAATCCCAGTGTTTCTCAAAATATGAATATGTGTAGCACAACATGCAAGTGAGGTGATCTCAAGTGGCATATGAAGAACTTTTTTCAAAGTCATGGTGTTTATTTTAATATGTATTAGAAAAAGCATAACCTGAGATTCCACAGACAGTCTTGCTTAGGACAGGTTTCTTTCTGAGCTAAATTTATAAGGAAGAAAGTGAGTTGCATTAGAGAGAATACTAAAGATTGTGACAGAGGGCCCCAAGTCTCTGTAGTTTAGGAAACACTTCATAATTCAGTACTTTTTCTGTCCACAAGCCCTGTCTGTCTTGTACAATATCTACCCAAAGAAAGCCACAATGGCATCTTATTGGGAACACAGGGTCACTTCATTTTTCATAAGTTTTGTATGAAATACAGGAACAGGCTTTTTGCATTAAGTACATTTAGATGAAAACACTTGTTGTGTGTGTTTCTTTCCATCAACCATTCTTGGTTATCTGATTTGTGTATCTCTTCCAAAATACCCTAGCTCTCCTGCTTGGGTCCCTCAGCATCTCTACCCCACCCCCTCACCTGTCTGTAGCCCTACTTACGGTGAGGATAGAGGATAAGGCTCTACCTGACTACTGTTTCGTGTTGCAGAATTTCTTCAGGACTAGCTAAGATGATTTGCACCTCTCTATCAGTTCTCTGTGACCACATACCTCTGCCCCCCTCTTTTCCTTCTCATGTTTCAGCTCAATGAAGTTCTAAAGACCTATTTGTTTGGCTGTTGCGGGTATCCTTATAGTTTAGATGTTCTTCCAAAGAATGGATATGGAGGGCAATGGGTTTGATAACAATAACCCAATCTTCTGTTGCTAAAGTTGTAGGAGAAAGAGGGGACATATGGCATGAGATGAATCAGGACAAGTCAGTTGAGCCCAATTCTAAAGAGCCTTGAATGCCATTTGAGAGGGGCTTGGGTTTTATTCTGCAGGAAGCAGGGAAATAAAGTGATTTCATTGGGATGATTAATCAGGCAACAATACAAAGGAAGCATTCAGGGAGAAAGAGACAATGGCCAGGTTGTTATAATGGTCTAAGCAAAAAGTAAGAAGGCCATGAAGGAAGGCATGTTTGTTGCAAGAGAAAGATATAGATGCCTTTTAAAGACCAAAGAATAACAGAAAAGTCCTAAAATTGTATCATGACTTTCAAACAGACATCATTGACTGAATTGTTTATTATCTATCTCTTCTAGATCAGTGCTGTTCAATAATATTTTCTATGATGATAAAAATGTTTTCCCACACAATCCAATATGGTAGCCACTAGGTATATGTGGCTACTGAGCACTTGCAATGTGGCTAGTGTGACTAACTAAACTGAATTTTTAAATTCTATTTAATTTTAATTAATTGTAATGTAAATAGTCACACGTGGCTAGTGACCATCATATTGGACTAACCAGCATAGTGCAGGACTAGAGTATGGTGCCAGCTATCCTGCCTGATTTGTTTGCCAATCTGTCCCTAGAGCCTAGAATTGCCTGGCACATAGTAGGTACTTAATAAATATTTGTTAAGTGAATGAATAAAAAAAAACCTTATAAAACAGAGGCAAAGAATATGTCCTGTTCAAATCAATATACTCCTTTATGGAGAATTTTGGCCCCAACTTAAAGGTGGAGGATGGAGATTTCCCACACACATTTAGAATATTTCCCAAATGTTTAAACAAAGCTCTCAGCTTGTGCAAGTGGAGCAAAATCAAGCCAAAGGGGATAGATGAAAGTCAGCGACGTGGTGGGAAAATCCAAGCCCAAGTTCTGTTCTGTCGGTCCCTGCCTTCTTGGTTTTCGTTTCTGGCTATTGTAGAAATGCACAGTACCCACGTCTTTTCTTGAAATATGTGAGGGTAATGATCAAAGTGAAGAAATATCTTTTATGAGGAATGATGAAAAGAAAATGTGTCAGAGCTGCTTTGTTAACATGGCTGTAGAAATACAGGGAGGTCCACACATGATCTGGAGTGAGGGGTTCAGGACGTAAGCCCCGTGACCTTGGGCAAGTTGTTTAAGCTCTCCAAACCATAGTTTCATAGAAAATGAGAATAAGAATCATAAACACTTCACTTACCAAGCAGTTGGGAGGAAGAAATGATATAGTAATAGGAAAATTCATGGTTCATAATCCATAAAGTTCCGTTCAGATGTTTATTCTAATTCACACAGACTAGAGTTATATTTGAATATATGTCTGGAAGACACAGTTATATTAAAATATAATTCTGGGGGCGCCTGGGTGGCTCAGT